CACGACGGCGACGGCTCCGACGCCGATTCGCCTAATCTCCGATCAAAATCGCTGATTCTGGTTAAAATCTGGTGCTTGATCATCGTCTTCTTTGGGACGTTCGTCGGCGGGGTTTCGCCCTATTTCCTGAAGTGGAATGAGGGGTTTCTAGTTCTTGGGACGCAGTTTGCTGGTGGGGTGTTTTTGGGGACGGCGATGATGCATTTTTTGAGCGATTCGAACGAGACTTTTGGGGATTTGACGGAAAAGGAGTATCCTTTTGCGTTTATGCTGGCGAGCGCTGGCTACGTGATCACTATGCTCGCTGATTGTGTCATCTCCAACGTGGTTCTTGCGAATAAGGGCGTTCGAGATGTTGAGCGAGGTGAGGCTATGATTTGCCTTTTAAAAAAAATAAATTTTATCTATTGGTGAAATTTAAAAGAGGAAAGAGCTGGGAGTAGAATGAAACGAGAATACTGGAATCGCTTTAATTAATTATAGGAAAAGGTCGTGGTGAGATTAAGGAAAAGGTGGGCTTTTTTTTTTGAAAGGTAGGATGAATATGGTGTTCGAATCTTTGTAAAGAGGTGCTTTGGTTAATCTGAACAAAAAGACCCTCTTCAAGTAAGAAAAGGGATTCTCTCGGTAAGGTAGATAGAGATGTAGAAGTCCAGTTGTGTTCTTCTTCCCGGAAAATAGGATTAGGAATTGAAGGTATCCATCAAAGAAGCAGAATTAAATTGTGAAATAAATAGTTTGGTAAAAATAGTCAGCAGACTCCGTGTCTTCAAAACAATTAAAAATATAAAATAAAATAAAATAAAATTGTTTGTTTAAGATTAACTTGCTGCGGGAGTATTAGTATATTTGGTGAGTATTAGGGAAAAGGTCACTCTGAAAGATTGGACCAAATAAGCTCTATTCGTCTATCACAATTCCCTAACTTAAGCACCTAAGTGTTATTCGCATTTGGAGATTCTTAGATGTAGTTCAATGTTTTCATCATTTAGTTGATTCAGTTGAACATTTATTTGAATCTAGGATATCTAAGGTTAATTGTCGTAGTTTCCATCAAAATAAATAAATAAATAATTAATTAAAAATAAAAAATAAAAAAGGTTAATTGTCGCTGTTTGTTGAATATCTTCTTCATTTTCCTTTTTTTTCTTAGATTCCGACAACTTATCTTTTTGACGTTTCAAGATATGTTGTTTTTCTCTTGCTACTAGTGAAATAGTTATGAAACTTTTCAAACTTCAAGTTAACAAGAAGGAAAGCATCTTTTTCCTTTGTTTCCTTTTTGGGATGATTGCTTGATGATTCTGGGATTATTTGAATGTTACAGGGAATGTTGCACAAGATAAAGTTGACAGTAATAGTACGAAACCACACTCACAACCAGAGGTATGGTTACTGTGATGCTACTTTCACTCGACTATGTTGGTCACAGGAAATTGAAATGACTTTCATTATTCTGCTTATTGTCAGCAATAAGAACTAATAATTGTTAAGGCAGTAGCCTTTTTTATTTAATTTGTTTTGTGAGATAAATTATGTTCAAATTGGTGATTAATATATTTTTTTTCCATGAAACATGTTTAGAATTTTGAATTCTTAAACCATGTGGAAGATGATTGTAGAGTACAGTTGAATGTGAAGTTCCATGAAAGTGTGAAACTAACCTAAATTCAGTTGATTCACGAGTGGTCTTATTGCATACTCTGTAGTCTGTTGTATTCCACATCAAATAATGCTCAAATTTTGCATATGAAATGCAAGAAAAAATTGTTTCTTTCATCTCGAACTATCACATCCTCCGTTGTTTGTTTCAGTGTATGTCATTGGTGTGTTTAAAAATTATTTGACCCTTTTAGTAAGATTTTACAGTAGCCTGCCCTGAACTATATACCTATACACGATAAATCCCTCGCCTCCTTTTTTTAAATATTGTGGAAGGTCCTCTTTTTATGCACCTGTCTGTGCATTGAACACTTCGCCTTCTCCCTTTTGCTCCTCTTATACTATCCCATTGCTGACCAAGCTCCTCTTAGCTTTTTGTTTGTTAAAGCAAAATATTCTTCCTCTCTGGCACAAAATATGACCATAGAATTAGCTGATAAGTTGTGCCTTATTGTTCTGTCAAAAACAGTCTGAATACGAAAGCCTCCACTTTCTGAGGCTAAGACTGAATGCTCTGCAAGCCCATATCTGTAGCAGTTTTTCATTAATTTACAAGTGTCTGGTGGCTGTGGCTGTGGCTTTACACTATGGCTGTTGCTCTCACATCGGAATGAGATTAGACCAAGATATATCTAGTGTCTTAGCTCAATGCTGAACATTCAAATAGTAGCTGGCTGCATATGGTCTGAACTTTACCCAATCGGCACTATTCTGCTTTCTCGTGATATCTGAAGGCACATATTTCATTTCATCCCATCTATTTTGATATAATATAAAACTATAACCTCAATCCTGACTACAATTTCGGAGTTCTGGTGTAATGGTTATGGACTTTAAGATGGTACCAGGGCAACACGTCAAACCCACTAGCCACAAATTTAATGTGGATTTTAGATAATTGATATCACTGCGTTAGTCTAGGTTTTTGCCCATAAAAAGGGCGCTCAACCTGTGGGAGCATGTTAGAATATAAATATATAACCCTCAATCCTCACTATAATTTTGGAGTTTTGGCATAAATGGTTAATGATTTTAAGATATCTCAAAGCTGGCTGAACTGACCAATTTCGAACCTGTTTTGTCGTGTTCTCTCTCTTTCAGGGTCCACATGGTGGTGCTCATAACCAATCCGTAGAATATGTACTTAGTCATGCTAGTTCTCTTGGCGACAGCATTTTGTTGATTGTAGCCTTGTGTTTCCATTCAGTCTTTGAAGGCATTGCAATTGGTGTTGCAGGTAAGAAAAGAATACATACCCTGCCCTGAGAAAAATCTTTTCAACATCTTTTATTTTTTGCAACTCGTTGATAAGGAACTCAAGTGCCTTTTATAGACTACAGTCCTGTCAATATAATCTGTTGCCTGACCTACAAATGGACACAGTTTTGTGGTTGCGCTGTAGGCTCTGTTGAAGCCTCTTCAGTTTGTCACTGAGGTTTTGGTCTTCGTCTAATTTTATCTTACATCTGTCTGGCCTCCAATCGATCCTGATTTAAAACTTGTCTTTTTCACTCCCTCGAATGAATAGCAGAAACATGTCTTTGGTGCTTCTATAATCCTTTTTATTGAATTTCCCTAACTCTTAATATATTGTTAGTTGTTAAGAAGAATACAATCTTTATCAAAAACATCCTGAATACGAGTAGGGTGTATTAAGGTTTTCACATGAAAGGTAAGATGGCAATTTTGAGATTGAACTGTCCCATCAATGTCTGATAAGATTTGTATTTGTTAAGGAAGCTATTTGATCCGCTCCTCATCATTTTTCTCCCCATAATTATCAAATGTACAGAAAACAAAGCAGATGCGTGGAAAGCACTATGGACAATCTCTCTCCACAAGATATTCGCAGCCATTGCAATGGGTATAGCGCTGCTAAGAATGATCCCTGACCGGCCTCTCATATCCTGTGCCGCCTATGCCTTTGCCTTTGCAATCTCCAGCCCTGTCGGTGTTGCCATAGGGATCATTATAGATGCCACAACAGAAGGCCATGTAGCTGACTGGATATTTGCCATATCCATGGGCATTGCTTGTGGAATATTCATTTACGTCGCTATTAATCATCTCCTTGCTAAAGGTTATCAGCCTCAGCAGCCTGTTGCAGTTAATACTCCAATGTATAGATGGTTGGCTCTGGTGTTGGGGATTGGAGTTATCGCAGTTGTGATGATATGGGATACATAAAATATTCAATATATATCCTGTGATGCAAAGTATGTGCATAGTGCTTATAGACTCGGGGTGAAGGAGTTCTCGGTTGTTGTAGCAGAGATGGATGTAATTTATTTGACGAAAAGAATGTTTTTTTTGGGGGCTTATGTGAAATTTGCTGGCTATAGTTTACTTTATGCCGTTGCTTCAACTCTCCTGTGCAAAAAGGGAATATGATGTGATTCTTCCAGATTTCTCTCCGAATCATCTGCAGCTGCCAGTGGTAAACGCACATGATCAAGCATTAAACACATTATTTTCAAAGACTACGCAATGCAGCTTTTAAGGGGAAAGTGTTCTCCTTGGTCACCCTAAATTCATCCTCACTAGTACAAAATTTGTTCTTCCAAGTTGGAATGGAAATAAAAGCAAGGAGATTCCTTTTAGCTTCCTATGAAAACGGCGAAGGAATTGTGAAAAACGTGAAGAATAACCCAAAACAGACTCCACCACACCCTGGTGTGGTGTCTGCCATGGGTGTGGTAGAATCTGTCCTGCACCGCACCCTCTGCCACATCCACGGTGCAGGGTGTGGCAGAATCTGTCCTGCACCACACCCTCTGCCACACCCATGGTGCAGGGTGTGGCAGACTCGTTTTTAGAATCCCAATCAGTTTGGGATTGTGTTTTGCTATAAATAGAGACACGTTTTTTAGGGTTTCCTGGGCTTGGTTTAGGCTTTGATTAAGCATTGATTGGGGGCTATTTGGAGCACAAAAAGAGGTATTTTTGAGCTATTCGTTTAGGGTTTTATTTGGAGAGATTAAGAGTTTTGTTGGTGAGATTAGTTTGTTCCTTCGAGTGATTTGTAATCTCAGTTTGTACTCTTTCTCTATTAGTGAAAACCCTATCCCCCTTGCCCCGTGGACGTAGGCAACTTGCCGAACCACGTTAAAATTGGTGTTTTGTTTGTGCATTGATATTTGGTTCATTTGGCTCTCTTGGATTGGTGTTTGGTTTGGTTCCTCGACACAGCTTCAGGCTCAACAAGTGGTATCAGAGCTCGGGCAACGCTTGGGCTATTTGGAGGAGTAGATCGCTTTGGAAGTTCATCTAGGGCTTCGTTTGGTGATAAAGGTGGGATCTTTTTAGTAAAAATCCCATCTTTTTCAGTTTGGATCTATTTCTCGTTTGTTTCCGCATTGGTTTGGTGGTGCTTTGAGGATTATGGCCGAGAAAGAAGGAGTTGTGGGCAGTACTTCCGGCGTGAAGACCGTCCAAAGCTTGAATATCCACTCGATGAAGATTGACGTGGAAAAGTTCAATGGCACAAACAATTTTGGACTTTGGCGATGCGAAGTCATGGATGCGCTCAACGCGCAAAATTTGGAAGATACGTTGGAGTTGGACGGGAAACCGGACAACATTGATGAGAAGGTTTGGAAAAAGATGAATCGAACGGCGTGTGGTGTGATTAGGTCTTGTCTCACTCAAGATCTAAAGTATGATGTGATCAATGAGACTTCTGCAAAGAAGATTTGGGAGATCCTTGAGAGCAAGTATTTGACCAAGAGTGTGGAGAATCGCTTGCATTTGAAGAGGAGGCTTTACCGCTTCCAGTTGAAGAAAGGAACCTCCATTGGTGATCACATGAACCACTACACGAAGCTTCTTGCGGATTTGACGAATGTAGATGTGGTGATTGAAGATGAGGACAAGGCGTTGTTGTTGTTGTTGAGTTTCTTGCCTGACGAGGAATATGAGACCTTCGTTCTTACTCTTATTAATGGGAAGGCATCTCTTTCGTATAGTGAGGTCACCGCTGCACTTGTGAATTATCAGCTTCGAAAGGAGGATAAGGAGACTTCGATTGAGCCGGTAGCAAGGGCGTTGGTCGCAAGAGCAAAGGGTCCAAACCGTAGTGGGAGGTCACAGTCTAGAGGGGCACATCTTGGAGTTCGTAAGAATCAGTGTGCCTTTTGCAAAGAGGATGGACATTGGAAAGCCGATTGCCCAAAGTTAGTTGATCGAGCCGGGAAGAATAAGGGAAAAGCTATTCAAGCTTCAGAGGCGAATGTTGTCAAGGCTAGTGGCAACGATTCAGATTCGGATTCTTCGGGCTACTCGTTATCTGCACTGCCGTCAGTTTGTGTTGCCTACTCTACAGAGTGGATATTGGATTCGGGTGCTACATACCACATTTGCCCTAGGAGGGATTGGTTTTCCAGCTTTCAGGAGTTGGAAAGAGGGGATTTCGTGCTCATGGGGAATGATCACAAATGCTCTATTGGTGGTATCGGTACCGTTCGGATCAGGATGAGTGACGGGGTGATTCGGGAGTTGGTTGGAGTGAGGTTCGTTCCTCAGTTGAAGAAGAACATCATTTCACTTGGAGCTTTGGAGGCAGCAGGCTATAGGGTGACCTTGGCGGATGCACGCTTGAAGGTTACATTTGGGTCCATGATTGTGATGAAGGGCGTCAGAAGGAGCAATTTGTACTATTTGCTTGGGAGCACGGTGATTGATAGGAAGATGACGACTTCATCAGATTCGGCTAGACTGTGGCATTGTTTGGTGCTGGGGTATATGATTGGTAATGCCGTGCATTGGTTGTTGAGGAATTGTTTGGTGCTGGGGTATATGATTGGTAATACCGTGCATTGGTTGTTGAGGAGTGCTATGACCTGCAGATTGAAGTCCTGTGAGCACATTAGGATGAGCGAGACCGTGGTGGAGTTTGGCACTTCTATCCATCGAGCGAGGGGTCTTTTTGGAGGTGTTCAGTCAGGCATTTGGGGGCCTTCCAAGGAGGCATCATTGGGAGGTAATCGTATCTTGGTTTCCACAGTTGGTGATTGTTCTAGGCATTATTGGGTCGCGACCAGTTCCCGTTGGTGTAAAGTCCTAGAAGTCAACAACAATTGGAAGAAGTGTATTGGCAGAAAGGTAACTCATTGTTTCAGCTTTGGTAGGGGTCCTTTCTTGCGTTGGTGCCGAGCTCACGGCAATAGGAGACACTTCATTGGTGTGGAGACTTTAGGGCGACGAGATGAGATGACAGTTTCGATGGGTCGTTCCTTTCTGGAGGAGGATCGGCGTTGGTTGTCAAGCATTGGTTCTGGAGCTTCGACATATTTGGGTCATCTTAGTCACAGGTCGCCGACTGCTGCATTAGGAGTTATTGGATCTGGTGGAGCTGCTTCAGATTTTGGGTTGCGTCGGATATTTGGATACCCAGCATTTGGTCACATCGTGGATGTGAGATTGGATCCGATTGCGCGTTTGGGGTTCGGAGGCTCAGTTGATTATCGTTTGGGAGCTTCTGATTTTGTTCTGAGCAGGTATGTCACTTTTGACTCTCGGCAGGTGGAGAGTGTTGATCAGGTCATTTGGATATCGCAGCAGGTGGAGAGTGATGCTACTCCACGTTGGGTGGAGATTACTCCACATACTCCAGATCATACTGCGTCATTTGGGATTCCAGCTGAGGTGACACAGGTTGGGGATCATTTGATTTCGGATGCAGATGATGGATTGGTTTTGGATTCGGTTGCAGCTGGTGGACATGATTTGGATACGGCCATTGGTTCACCTCAGATGGAGGTGTTTGATTTGTATCAGTTTGGGGCCGCTATTAGTTGCAGATCCGTTGGCGATATTGGGGAAGAGTTGCAGACTTTTCTATTTGTTTGAGGGCCTTTGGAGGCCGTTTGGGTGAACTACGTGAAGGCTTGATTCCTTGGACAAGAGGATACGTAGGCAATCAGTTTTGATGCAGCCGATTTGGTGAGTAGATACCGACGTTTGGGTGAATGTTCGCACTCCCGTTTGGGTCTCGACTTGTGTGGATGGAGTCCGTTGTCATGAGTCCGTTGCCGTGGCGTACTGGATGCAACAAGTGAGGCATTTGTTTTGGTTGGTGTCGACTCAGTGTTGGGAACACTTCGTCGAGGTGGAGAATTGTGAAAACGGCGAATGAATTGTGAAAAACGTGAAGAATAACCCAAAACAGACTCCACCACACCCTGGTGTGGTGTCTGTCATGGGTGTGGTAGAATCTGTCCTGCACCACACCCTCTGCCACACCCACGGTGCAGGGTGTGGCAGAATCTGTCCTGCACCACACCCTCTGCCACACCCACGGTGCAGGGTGTGGCAGACTCGTTTTTAGAATCCCAATCAGTTTGGGATTGTGTTTTGCTATAAATAGAGACACGTTTTTTAGGGTTTCCTGGGCTTGGTTTAGGCTTTGATTAAGCATTGATTGGGGGCTATTTGGAGCACAAAAAGAGGTATTTTTGAGCTATTCGTTTAGGGTTTTATTTGGAGAGATTAAGAGTTTTGTTGGTGAGATTAGTTTGTTCCTTCGAGTGATTTGTAATCTCAGTTTGTACTCTTTCTCTATTAGTGAAAACCCCATCCCCCTTGCCTCGTGGACGTAGGCAACTTGCCGAACCACGTTAAAATTGGTGTTTTGTTTGTGCATTGATATTTGGTTCATTTGGCTCTCTTGGATTGGTGTTTGGTTTGGTTCCTCGACACAGCTTCAGGCTCAACACTTCCTTCCCCACGGCCCCAAATGAAATCTAAACAAGCCCTAAGAATTTTTTTCTTCAAAAAATCACATTGATCTACCTATCATCGAAACATCGCGGTGTACCCTTTTATTCTTCAATATATGTTTTCTAAATTATCGTAAACTTTGCTGGTCAGCATGCAAAAATCATAAACCTTTTTAGATTATATTACACTAGTGTGGACCTCGTGCGAAGCACGACCTTCCCTTTTTTTAATTGCTACAGTAATCCCGTTTTTAATTGCTACAGCTTCTTAAAATGCCACAGTATTTTTTTAAAAATGTTACGGTAATATTTTAAAATTTTACAGTGTCCCACTACTGCTACAGTAACATTTTTAGTAACATTTTTCAAAAAAAAACTACAATAATGTTTTTTAGTACTGCTGCAGTATCCCGCCTATGCTACAACAATATTTTTCTTTTGAAAATGCTACAATAACAATGTTACAGTAAATTACTATAGTATTTTTACAAACGTTTGGATAGTGACTCTTAGGTCCTCCCATTATTATAGATGAATAGATACATAGATCATAAACTATGTATATCTGCAAAACTTGCCACCCGTTGTCTGAAAGAATCTCACAGTATTCCTCTGGCACTTTATCTGTTCAAGGA